CTTCTTACTCGGTGGGGAGAGATGAGGCTATCTGTTCCAATAAAGATTTACAGCCTTTGAAATTCTACATAAGGTCGTTTTGGTAGGTCAATATTCCTATTGTGTGGCAGTGGGAATAGAAGCAATTATTTAGTCTGGATTTTTTAGCTGTACAACCTAAGCAATTATTTAGTCTGGATTTTTTAGCTGTAGAACCTAATACAGATTACTTAACCTCTCGAGTCTCAGTTTCTTTATGTATAAAATGAGGATACTAACATGACCTACCTCATGGGATACTTGTGGGGATTAAATTAAGTAATATAAGCAATGGTCGTAGATTCATGCCTAACACCAAAGGAAATGCTCATTAAATTTTAGCTCTTACTGTTATTATTACAGGTGTCCTGGTGATGTAGTGGTTATGCACTGGGCTGCTAACCACGGGGTTTGAAGCCACCAGCCACTCCACAGGAGAAAGATGAGGCTTTCTACTCCTGTAAAAAGTTAGTCTTGGAAACCCAAAAAGGCAGTTCTATTCTGTCCTATCGGATCACTATAAGTCGGTATTGACTCGATAGCAGTGAGTATTATTATTACAGATAGACCAACATGATCAGTGTACCTCCCTCTAATGTGTATTGGGCTTGGCTTAGTTCTGTGGTGTAAAATTGTTTGCTTGTCATGGTAAGACAGTGGGCTCTCTCAAAGAAAAAAAAGAATCACTACCATAAAGGTGACACCTAGTCACAGTAACCCTGTAGGACTGGGTAGAACTGCCCCCACTCTGTTACTAAGACTGTGATTGCTTGTGGGGAGGAAGAAGTAAGTGGCTGGCTTATTTTAACTACTGACCTTGGCATCAGCAGCCCAACAGTGACTACTGCAGCGCCAGGGCTCCATGAGCTCTCTAGGTGCCATTTATAGTCAGCATAAGCCTGAGGATGTTTGTGCTCTCAAATTTTATTTGAACACTTTGTGTGCGGTATGAGATCTGGACTTTGCTATCATTTTGGTATTTACTAGATTTAGGAAAATTAGTTAGCCTTCCTAATTCTAATGTTTCTTCGTTGATAAAAGGAGAAACTCACAGGGATGCTTTGGTGATTAAATGAGATAATGTATCTGTAAATCCCTTCTAAAAACCAAACCCACTGACATCAATTCTGACTCATAGTGATCCTATAAGACTTGATAGAACTGCCCTTGTGGGTTTCTAAGACTGTAACTCACTACAACAATAAGCCTTGTCTTTCTCTCAAGGAGTTGCTTGTGGTTTTGAACTGCTGACCTCGTGGTTAGCAGCCTAATGCATAACCACTACAGCAGGGCTCCTATGCAATGCCCTGAGCAGTCAATTAAATTCTCTAGTGTACTAAAACAAATGCTGCTCCATCTAAAACATTATTAGCATCACTTACATAACATGTATTGTTGAGGATATGAACCAGCAGATGAAATTTATTTAAGGAATTCTGCGCAGAGATGAGGGTGGGTAAGCTGGCAACATGCTGATAAGGGGTTAGTGGATGAACAAAGTCTGTGTAAGAAACAGGATAGTGTGATTGTTAAAATCCAGGAAATATAATTGGGTAGAATAAAGCCCGAATTCAGGCTCTCTTCCAACAGTTTTCCACTGAATGGCAGTATGTTTGGTTTCCCAAACACCTTTATAAGGCCTTGAACAGGTTAACAGATAATTTGAGTCAGTTTCCTCAGAATTGGGAACAAGGACAGTGGGTATATACCAGGGTGAGACAATGTATCCAAAGTACTTCCCACTGAGTCTAGGTAAAAAGAACTCAGTGAATGGCAACTGTATTAATCTTGTTTTTAATGCGATATTGTCTACACTGGGGACTTAGGCATCTCATTGGGACAACTCTTAAAATCATCCTAGTTTTTACCAGTGTGGAAAAGGAATAGTAAGTGGAAGTCTGGGTAGAAAAAGAAATTGAATACTGGAGGTTTGGTACTTCAAACAAGGGATAAGGGTTTAGAGCAAATATCTTTAAATTGGTTCCTTAAAATTGTAGGCTCTCTTAAGTTAAACTCAGAGACTCCCTCCAGCTTCTTCCTTTACCGTCTTTAACTCTTGGAGAAGAGGAAATAAAGTTGTGGCCAAGAGGGTCCTGTTTTGCCCTCTTGTCACTAGGGGAGCAGGTAGGTGCATCGATACAAGGTATTATGACATCATCATTATGATGGAAACACTGTGCAAGGGGGACTTACATAGGGTAAGTCCACACTCATGGCCTGTTGGCAGGGAAAGGCCAGGTGACAATCTGAAATCCATGCAGGAAGTTTAGAGCTGTGATCGCTGGTGAGGTGAACTCTAGCAAACTTTTGACATCAATAATCTTCTTCCTGTAATCCTCCTTTTCTTCTCCCATTCTCACCTTGAAGGAAAGCTCTCTCGAAGTTAAAATCAAGTTGAGAAAACCAGGAAAGAACCAAAAACCTCAAAGCACAGCACTGTAGTTAAAGGCTCCTGTTCTATCTATACTAGGTCTATTCTAAAGTAGAGTCATCGGCCAACCAGTCCTCTGCCAATCTGTCATCAGCAAACTAGTCCTCTCACAGCCAGTCCTTGACCAACAGTGATAAACTAGTCATCAGCCAACCAGCAAAAACCAACCAGACGCCAGTCAACCAGGTAGGAACCTGCTTGTAATAAATCAGCCAGGCAGAAGTCAAGTGGGCATTAGTCAACAAGGCATGGACCAACCAGGCACAAACCAATCAAACACAAGCCTAACTGGTAGGAGCCAACCAGGCACAAGCCTACTTGGTATGAACCAAGCAGGCACCAGCCAGCTAGACACAAGCCAACTAGGCATGAGCCAACCAGGCAAAAGCACAAACCTAACTAGTATGATCCAACCAGGCATGGGAAAAAAAGGCATAAATCAACCCACCATGAGTCAACCAATCACAAACCTAACTGACATGAACCAACCAGCCATGAGTCATTTAGCAAGCCTACCTGTTACAAACCAACCAGGCACCAGCCAACTAGGTACAAGTCAACAAGACATGAGCCAATCAGGCACAGGTACAAATCTAACTAGTATGGACCAGCCAGGGATGACTCTACAAAGCATGAGCCAACAAGATAAGTACCAACGAGTCATTACTCAACCGGGTAGCTTTCCTGTTAGGAACCAATCAGGAACCAGACAACCTGGCACAAGACAAGAAAACAAGAGCCAATCAGACATAGTCATAAACATATCTCGTATGGACGAAGAAGGCACAACCCTACCAAGCATGAATCAACCAGCCATGAGCCAACCAACCACAAGCCTAACTGGTATATACCAACCAGGCATGATCCAACCAGGCCTGCGTCACCCTGGTACAAGCCTCCCTGCTATGAACCAGCCAGGCACTAGCCAACTAGGAACGAGTCAGAGAGGCATAAGTCAACCAGGCATGTGTCAACTAGGCACAAGCCTACCTGTTAAGAACCAACCAGGTACCAGCCAACTGGGCACAAGTCAACAAGGCATGAGCCAATCAGGCATAAGCACAAATCTAATTAGTATGGACCAGCCAGGGATGACTCTACAAAGCATGAGCCAACAAGATAAGAACCAACCAGTCATTACTCAACCAGGTAGCTTTCCTGTTAGGAACCAAT